CTAGTCTCCATTTTAAATAATAGTCAGTACAGTACAGTAAGTATACTGTACTCCACGACACTTTGGGAGTCGTCAGCAATCTACTTTACTGTACTGTTTCTCTTGTCATTTTGTTATTGTACTGTATGTACTGTACATACTGTAGTTTCATATACTTTATCTTACTAAAATGTCAACAACAGCAAATTCAAAGAATTACTGTGGAGTTTCCCATACTGTTTCTGTATTTTAGAATGCCAACAACTACTGTAAGCCCCACTTCTATTATATCACGAAAGACTAACAGTAACAGTAGTATTGACTTCGATTATTACTAAGATAATCAGGTGTTTTTGCACCAATTGTTCGAGCTTCTGCTGGATTAATGATGAAAAAATGAATGATGATGATCATTTTACCCAAATATGGAGAAAATGAGATTCATTACAGTACAGTGCTGTACTGTACTGTACTGTACTGTACTGTACGTGCAATACGGTGTACGGTACTGTATATACTGTACAGTACAGTACTGTACAGTGTACACTGTACACTGTAGTGTGCAGCCTTGTTTACTGCTATATTGGTTAAAGATTAATGAATGAATCTCATCTTATCCATAATTGGTCAACGGGATAATTTTCATCATTCATCGATCAATACAGTGCATTTGGTTATTTTGGTGCATCGTCAATTCGTCCTAGAAAGCGATAGAAAAATGAAAATAAAAAATGACGACATACAATACTGTCAGTAAACGCGAAGTAATACGAGTAATTTGTACGGTGACTGCTGAGCAACGATTGGACAACATTCAATTTACAGTACTGTACAACGGGTATTACGAAGCTAGTACTGTACACTGAAGTACCGTACTAGGACTCCAGTCTGGGCCACGCCAAGGAAAGTTGTATACGCAGCCGCATTATGATGCGGTTGAAACGTTTGAGCGACAGCCGAGCCTTTCGATTGGCTAATGATTATTGTAATGAATTTCATCTTGTCCATATTTGGTCAATTGGACCATTTTCATCATTGATCGATCGCAGCTCCAACTGTATAAATACCGTGGACTTGATTGGCTTGGGAAGCGTCAATTTTTTTCACGAGTGTGCCCTCTGCCTAGGTGTGGTTTTGTCTCCAGTTTTGAACTCAGCCGTATAGCCTTCCAAGATTGAAAATGGTAGGTCTATCTTAGCGATTTTTTGGGCAATACTGCTATTCCATCCTAGGTTCTCTAAAATAGTCTTATTTTTTGGAGTTTCATTGGATGTACGTATCCTACTGTACAGTATAGGATGTTGAAAATATCATCTTTTGCACCGTTGCTGGTTGGACATGATAAATGGCCAATCAGATTTGGTAGTACGCATACAATTGCAGTAGTTTGCATGTACTATACGGTACGGTACTGTTTGGACTGCTGAAAGGCATACCATGAGGATATAGTCAATTTCTTGATTCCTATGAAATAAGTCTGCAATTTTTTAAAAGTATATTCGACCACTGCGTAAATTGTAGTGTATATTGATTGGTGTAGTCTTTTCATTTTTTTCCAACCCAAATTGGATCGGCCAACATGCGTTCTCCGCTTTTATAATTCTACTCTTGCTGCACAGTACAGTAGTCTGTATCTTACACCAATACTGGACGCTAACATTTCGTAATGCTGGTCAGTTTTACACATCGCTAGCGGATAATTGTAGGATGTCGAAATAGATTAACAATAATGCCAAACCCTACAGAAACACTGAACAAATTCAGTCTACAATTCAATTATCAACACTTTAAAGTGGCGACAGGTACAGTAGTTTTCTTTTTGAATTCCAAAGATTCGATTTCTAGCCATTTCGGCACATGACGGTCAAGTCTTTCGCGCTTATAGACTCGACGCATATACGCTTTAAAAATGACAGAAAATAACC